AAGGAACAGCTTTGTAGGTGTTCTGTCTGTCTGTCTGTGTGTGTGTGTGTGTGTGTGAGAGAGAGAGAGAGAGAGGTGGTGGGATGCAAGAGTTTGGAGTCTATGGGATATAGACTAATTCTGCTCATTTACCTCTGCAGTCCCTTGTATGAGGCATTTCTTCTCCTTGCTCCAAGGGGAAACTCAGCAGGTTCCTAGATGCTTGCTCTTTGCATCCGTGTCCTGCTGGATGTAGCTTCACGGGTGCGCAAACCCCTGGCGTGGGGCTGGTCTTGCACTTCCACAGCCTCTGCCTGCCTGAGGAGAAGGGAATGGGGCATGAACACCAATTGCCTGCATGCTTGTGCTGTCGCTGGCCCACTGCGCGGCCAAGGAGCAGCTCTCTCTGCAATACTTGTGGGACTCCTTAAAGCAAGCTAATTGGACATCCTCCCTAGGAGACTCAAAGGCTTGCTGCTGTCATATCTTCTTTAGCAATTGAAAATTATCTAAAAGCAGCTGTCACCTCTAAGAGCCACCAACCGAAAAGGGAGCCACACAGGCTCTTTCACCACTGCCAGCATGTCGAGAGTCAATAACATTAGGTTGCCCTGAGTTGATGTAACAACAATTGACAAGTCAATGAAACAGGAAGGGTGCCGTGAGCTATAGAAGGAACTGGTGTCTGTGTTCCAAGGAGTTAAGGCTTTCCTGCCAGTGCCGGGTGCTGACATGTAGTTAATTAGGCTCTCAGGAGCGTCTAAAATAAACTCAGTAATTTAGATAAAGCGAGTAGGTTTGGTGTAAATTTCAGGGATAGCCTGTTTGGATCTCATTGTCTCCCAAGGAGCACCTGGGGTGACACAAACTGATTCCCTAATGGAGCCTGGCAGCTGCAAGATGCTTCTCAGTGTATTTTTAAAAAAGCCCTACAATGGCTGTTGGGGATCAGGATGGAGGGACCTGTAAAATGAGTTCCTTTAGGAGGATAAAGGGAGATTGGCTGAGTTCTTAAATGAAAGTTCCTTTTATAAATGAACAGAATATCCTGTATGAACCTGGCGTTGACATTTTTGCTGCATTAGTGTATCAGAGAAAGAAGGGAGGTATTGCCTAGTGGCTAGAGCAGAGAACTAGGCAGTAGGAGATCCTGGTTCTCATCTTGCTTTTTCCACTCACCTTCTATGACAGTGAAGTCAATGGGAGATGCAGGTGGCTCAGCTCCTCTGAAAGTCAGGTCTGAGCTGTCCCGAACTCGGCACCCAAAAAGAGAGAGACGCAAAATCAGAGGCTGCTTTTGAAAAATGTGTGCCTCATCTTCCAATCTACAACATCCTGCTCCTGTGGTCTGGTGGACAGGGCATTAGTGGAGCATTCCTCTTCCCTCCCCGCCCGCGGAGTCCTGGCAGTCAGGACCGAGCTAATGGATCTGGGTCCCAAGTGTCCTGGATCAGCCCTGGGCCTTGGCAGAGGGAATAGGAGTTTGATAAGTGGCAATCAGGGCCTGACCCAAAGCCTTGTCTTTGTAGCTGTCCACTCCTATTCAGCACTGCACGTGAGTGTGTGCTTAGCTTGTACATTGTATTCAGTGTGGGGTGTAGCCGTGTATTTAAATGCTTTGCTGAACCAGGTCCTAACGTAGAAGCTCTTAGGATGTTCCATGTGGTTCTAAAGCACATGATATAAACCCACCCAGCTGTGCGGGACTAGGAAGCATGTTATAACATGCTTAGAATCATAAAGGGGGAAAGAGGATTTAAAATGTTCTTCTTACTTATTTGCAATACTGCCTAGCAATCCGAATGGACCGAAGCCCTTGTAATATCACCATAGCTGGGCTCTCTGCTGGGTCTTTAATATCTGCCTAAGCTGCCCCAGCGGCAGCACTGCCATCGCAAAGGGGATGTCAGGTTTGAGTGTTAATATACACGGAATAAAGGAACCTTGGTACTGAGCGTTTACTAAATAAATATTCCCGGCAAACGACGCTGATGTGCAGGGAGACCAAAGCACCTGGGATTCAAGCCTTTTTACATTGCTATGGGGACTTTCTTATGAAGAGAAGACCAGAATGAAGATGTCCGGTATCTTCTTGCTATCCAATTGCTTCCTACTGTGCATTAAACGTGAATAACTCCCCCAGTTGTAACTCATTTATCTTCCTGGCCAAGGACAGGGTCTTTTCTCACAAAGCAAGTAACCCAAGCTCTCCAAGGGGGAAAAAAGATTGTGCCTGCCCTCCCCGGAGTGTGCTAAGGCGGGAAGGCACAAGGAGCCATTCCTCCATATCCGTGTGTCTTTGTGTCTTCCTATAGGGACAGGCACAATTGCAGTCTCTCCTCTCGTCTGAGTACAGCCATCTGCCTCGCTCCTGGGTGCATGCCCTTGTTCCCCATGGCACTGGCCAGCCGCACAGGGCAATGCGGGCTGTACGTACCCACGGGGTGGCGTAGTGGCTGCATTCGCTGTGCAAGCTGAGCAGCTCCAGGAAGCTGTGTCCGTCCTTAAAGACACAGTC